ACAGTTTTTACTAATTTTTAGTAAAAAAAACTACTAATTCATGGAGTAAATCGGCTTACTAATTTGAAATAGTAAAAAATACGACTTACTCCATAAATTAGTAGTTTTCTACTAGCAATTACTAGTTTTTTTTACTACAAATTAGTCATAACTGTTACTAATTCAATTAGTAAACGAATGCGCACTCTTTCATTAGTAGAAAACTACTAATTCAGATCCAGCTTGACGTCAAGCTAGCAGTACGAAGGGTTACTTTAAATAGGTAAAGGGCCCTAAATTTTTGCATGTGGTACTAAATTAGCCCTAATTGAGCCCTAAATGTTAGCATATATAAAAACTTTTTTCGTGGAAGTGGTACCTCTAGGATTAACGACTTTTTGGCTAGACTTTTCAGACAAGCGACGCTATTTAGGGTCTGACTAGTGGCTGAGTAGCAGCAGAAATGGGCAAGCTTATCAAGTAAGAATTGAATTTTTTAATTATTTCGCGAAATAATGCCGGCATTAAATTCGACAATAGAGCATTGCGAAGCCTTAAAAAAGCCCTAAATTTTGACCTATACTAGACCTTCCTACGAGTGTTCCTTCATTGTGTGGACAAACTGATATCAAGTAAAAATTGAATTTTTGCAAATATTTCGCGAAATGATGCTGGCATTAAATTCGGCAATAAAGCATTGAAGAGCCTTAAAAAAACCCTAAATTTTGACCTATAGTAGACTTTCCTACGAGTGCTCCTTCATTGTGTGGAAAAGCCACCTTAATGTTAAGCTAGCTTGTCCACAAGTTTTTTAAAGAAAATGCCGAGCATTAAATTCGGCATTAGGGCATTAAATTAGCCCTTAATTTTCAAATAGGTTTTATCCAGATCGGACAATGTGGACAAGCCAGGTTAACGGACCTAGAAAAAGGATATCTTTGAATTAAAGAAATTAATTCCTTTGAGAAATATTTCTTTGCTTCAAAGAAAATTTATTTGTTTCAAACAAATTTTCTGTGATTAAAAAAATTTATCTTCGTTAAAAGAAATTTTTTATTTAATTCAAATAAATGTTTCCATGACTTTATATCAATGTTAGAATTTCTTTGATTTAAAGAACAATTTTCTTTGAAACTAATAAGCTTTTTTTGTTTCAAAGAAAATTTTATTTTAAATGAAATAAAACAAGTCAAAGAAACTGATTTCTTTAAATCAAAGTAATCTATTCTCTGGGTGCAGCATTAAATTTGTGCTTTTGGCATTAAATTAGCACTCAATGAGCACTAAATTATGGCATAAATAAGAAAATTTTTTAGAGATTTTTTCTATGTGTTGGCGCTACCTTAACGTTAAGCTGGCGCCACCATGATTTTTTTTAAAATGTACCCACCGAGAAAAAGGATATCTTTGAATTAAAGAAATCAAGTCTTTGGGAAATATTTCTTTGCTTTAAAGAAAATTTATTTGTTTCAAACAAATTTTCTGTGATTAAAAAAATTTATCTTCGTTAAAAGAAATTTTTTATTTATTTCAAATAAATGTTTCCATGACTCAATGTTAGAATTTCTTTGATTTAAAGCACAATTGTCTTTGAAACTAATAAGCTTTTTTTGTTTCAAAGAAAATTTTATTTTGAATGAAATAAAACAAGTCAAAGAAACTGATTTCTTTAAATCAAAGTAATCTATTCTCTGGGTGCAGCATTAAATTTGTGCTTTTGGCATTAAATTAGCACTCAATGAGCACTAAATTATGGCATAAATAAGAAAATTTTTTAGAAATTTTTTCTATGTGTTGGCGCTACCTTAACGTTAAGCTGGCGCCACCATGATTTTTTTTTAAAATGTACAGCATTAAATTTGTGCTATTCGCATTAAAATTCACTAAATGAGCACTTAATTATGGTATAGGTAAAAAGTAATTAGTATTACTAATAATTTTTTTTGCCAATAAAAATTAAGATTTAAACTTCTCCTCTCTACAAATGAAAAGGTTGCTACTTGTGTCCTAAAAAATTCAAAATGAAAAGAAAATCAAATTTTTTAATTTAACAATGATTACTCCCTTCCCCTAAAGAGAGAATGGAGATTTTTTGCCAATAAATTTTTCTCCATTTTAAATTTTTTGCTCACAAGTAGAAATCTTTCTTTGTGCAAAGAGGATGAGTTTATATCTTTTTTTAATTTCAAAATTTTTATTCGTAAAAAATTTAACATCGGATTCGTAATGAGCGACCCAGAAAACCTCCAAGTAACGAGTTTCAAACATATTCGGTCAATTTTTAATTTTGTCATCCGCCATATTGGTTCCGCCATTTTAAGTTTTGATCAAATGATACCGGATTCCTAATCAGCGACCCCGAAAACCCCCGTGTAACTAGTATCAAGTCAATCGATTAATTTGTAAATTTTTAAATTAAAAAAATGTAAGTGGTTAAACTTGTTTTTGTCTGAAACTTGATTTTGGACAAATCTAACATTTAAAATCTCATATTTTTAATTAAGAGCAAAATATTTGGAGAGCACTAAATGAGCACTAAATTATGGTATCAATAAGAAAATTTTTTTTCCAGCTTTTTTTTATGTGGTGGCGCTACCTTAACGTTAAGCTGGCGCCACCACGGTTTTTTTTTAAAAAATGTACAGCATTAAATTTGTGCTTTTGGCATTAAATTAGCACTAAATGAGCACTTAATTATGGCATAGGTAAAAAGTAATTTCGATAATGTGGTTGCGCCAACTTAATATACCTAAATTTTTCAGCTATTATGGGAATTTTTTTTTTAACTTTCATTATCTTATTAAATTTACCTCAATGTATACTTTATATATACCAATCGATTCGTTTTCATGCAAGGAATACAATTATTTCATATATAAACTTCAATTTAAAAAATCACAAAATTTTATTGCCAAAATGTGAAATTTTGATTTTTTAACCTTTCATTAATTATTTAAATTTAAATTGAAACTATACTTTATATATACCAATTGATTTGTCTTGACGTAAGGAATACGATTTTGTTATATATAACCTTAAATTTTTTCATTTAAAAATTTTTTCAATTAAAAAAAAAATTTTGGAAAAAAGACGAAAAAAAATTTTTTTTGTGTGTTTTTTAAATTCCTTCGGTCAGATTTGAGATATTAATATGATAAATGAGCCTATAAAATTGTATCTAAAAATCCCTTAAAACCTGTTAAAGTTATCGTCTAAACAAAAAAGGGATCCATACACATACACACATCCGGACAATTGATCAGGATCTCATATAAAATGTTTCTATATTGAAAAAAATTTGTTTCCACCACTTGGAAAATTTTTATTAGCGAAAGGACTACAAAGCTTCCTCCACGAGGAAGCAAAACGATAAGAGGTGAGCTATTTTATATGAGAATACGTTGTCATGTCTCGTATTTTTCTTAAAATTCAGCAAATTGTAGTGATAGTGGTGCTAAATAAGTGTACAAATTTTGAATTTGAAATTTTTAATATTTTTCGAGATATAATAGAGATATAATAGATAATATTTTAGAATATAAACTTTTAGAAAGCATAAACTTTTAGAAAAAAATATTAATTTTTAAACAATTTGTTTATAACTTTTAAATATGTTCTCCCTCATTTTGAAGCGCGAAAAACAAACATTAGAATATTTATTAAAATCCGCATCCAACGAGCCCTATATGAACTATTTCTGATAAACGGGTGTGAAATTAATAATTAATAATAAAAATTATTTAAATAATTAATAATATCTGAAGAAATGAAGATAAATCGTCAATTCTTATTTTATTTGGAAGATCATCTAATTCTGTGTTAAATAAAACCAGTGTAAATAGCATTTTCAACAATCCAAATTATAAACAGATTATTCAATCGTTGTTTCAACACCTCACAGCACAACTCGTCAGAGGTTGTCTACCTATACTAGGCATGGTATTTTTCAGTCTTTCTTTAAATAACATTTTATAATTAATTTTCGATTCTTAGTAATACTTACTATTCTTTTTTCGACTCAGAATTAGATGATCTTCCAAATAAAAAAAGAATTGACGATTTATCTTCATTTCTTCAAATGTTATTAATTATTTAAATAATTTTTATTATTAATTATTAATTTCACACCCGTTTATAAGAAATAGTTCATATATGGCTCGTTGGATGCGGATTTTAATAATCATTCTAATGGTGTTTTTAAAATTACTCTAATTTTATTTGTTCGTAAAATATTTCATTTTTTATTAACTTTTGTTAGTTAATTAATTAATATCTCGAAAACAAACAATAATGCCATCTCAAAAATTTAACCATCGATTTATTACGACTTAAACAAAATTCATGATTTTTTTCGCGCTTCAAAATGAGGGAGAACATATTTAAAAGTTATAAACAAATTTTGTTTTTTAAACAAATTGTTTAAAAATTAATATTTTTTTTTAAACTAATTTTTTTCTAAAAGTTTAAGGTCTTTCTCGTAAAAAACATTCCCAACATTTTTCTCTATTATTAGTAGTGAAAAGTTATAAGCAAAGCAATTCTTATTTTGAATTTAGTGAAGTAAATATAAAATGCTATCAAATTTTATTAATATTGAAGTATATGATATTTACTATATTTAAAAAGAAATTATACATAAGTTCAGATTAAAAAAATTTTTTACACAACGTATATTAACAAAAATTTTAATAGCCCAATTCCAAATTAATATAATTAAAACTATTATCATTACTCTGGCTAATAGTTAAAATATATAACATTTTTTTTAAATTAAAAAATTCTTAAACAATAGTAAATTTGTAAAAAAAATATGTAATGGATTTACTAGTCATTGTGACGAAAAATGAAATAAATAATAAAGGAATTATTAAAATTAAGTAATTTGTTTTATTTAAATAAGAATCAATTAAAATAAATTGTTGCATATATTTTTTTATAACTATTTTTAAAAAATATTCAATCAATAACATTTAAATTCCAATATATAATAATAAATAATAGAAATAAAATAAAATTTCAAATTTCTTTTAATTACTAACAGATTTTATTTACTTCTTGTTTGAAAATTATTTACATTATTATAAATTTGATAAATTTGATTGTCATATTTGTAAACATGAAAATTTGAGAAACACTAGTCAGGGTAATATTATGAATTTATATTGTGTTCCTAAAATGATCGATTTTAACAATTATTATTGCATCCACTTCCAAATATTATTTCCTTTTTTCCATCTGTTATTCTGAGTCTATCTACTTCTCCTTGGATATTCGAAACAACATGACCTCCATGTTGGTTGTAATTGCTTCCAACATTTCCATTGTCAACATTGTTACTATTTCCTCCATCACTCATATATTTTATGTTGTTTCCATTTCCCACATTGTTTCCATTTCCTCCATTGCTTCCATTTCCTCCAGTGTTTCCACCTACATTGAAATAAAATAAGATCATAAGTAACAGCAAGAATATTGAATATTGATTTCGAAATGAATTCTAACGTTCGTTTAAAAAAAAACACAATCAAGATAGCCGTAAGACAGGGAAAATTTTTGTTGTCAAGAAAACTTGATATATTGAACATTTATATTTACAGAAAAAGGCAATATACTTTTTGAAAACGTAAAATTTTTTAACAATTTTTGATTTTTAAAGGGATAATACTTTATCATCTATTCACCTTTTTTCACTCATTAAAATTTTGTCACCTATTTTGATAATTTCTAAATTTTTTCACCTTTCTCATGCTTTGGTTAATTCACGGATGCAATATTTAAAAAATAATAAAATGTACAATTGAGCTGCCGGATCAAAGAAGGGCACATAACCCATTTAAAATACATTAGTTATGTGCCCTTCTTTGATCCGGCAGCTCAATTTAAAAACATTGATTTAAGCTACGGAATGTTAAAAAAAATGTTAACATTTCTTGACATTTCTTAAGAATGTAATTATTAATTTGGAGAGCAGAAAATTGACAGATTTTTTTCTTTTCTATAAATGATTCAATTCACCAATGCTTGCATTATTCAAAATTTTTCATTAATTTAAAAATTATTTAAACCAAATTTCAATAAATCTATATTTAAATTAGTTAAGGCATTTATTGCGATTAACGCATTGTAATCGATCAGCTATCAATTTAATCAATCCAAAATTCATTTAACACAAATTTTAAATCTCTTCAAATTTTTAGAACACATTTCAATTTAATTAAATCTTAATCAATTCAAATTTAATAGATCCAAACTACAATTGATTGTAAAATTTAATTAAAATTTCAAATGATTCAACTTTAAATCAATTATAATTTATATTTATATTATTATATCAAATTTTTAGAATTTTAATTAATCCCAGATGTTGACAAAATAAAATTGTTGTCTGTAAACAACGGAAATTTCATCGGATTAAAACATTTTAGTTTAAGTTGAAATGTTAAATGGAGTCTTTTTTAAAATGTACAAAAAAATTGCAATTCGAATAAAATTGTAAAGAAAATATATCTAGGGAAAAAATGTTTGATCATCAAATATGATGATTTGAAATTTTAATGAAGGTTTTGAGGAAAATGGTACATGTGATATTTAAAAAAAATGATTACCTTCACTCTCCGTTTCGCATCCAATGCAACATAGTTTTGAGGTACACCCGTTTCTGCGACTACCTAATTAAAGAACAATTAATTTTTAATATCGAAATAATAAAATTTTTCTTTATAATCAAATTGTAATATTCAAACAAAATAATCATTTCATAAATTAAATCTGAATTTGTTAATTCTGTAAATTGATTTTGTCTTGATCATATATATTATATAAAATATAAGAAAAAATAAAATTATGATCATTTTCTAGAGTGTGTTTTACACTATAGGAAAACATTGTATTACACATGTAAATTACCTGGACGAGCAAAAGAGTGAGCAACAAGTAGAAGGGTGAAGAAAAGCACAAAACATTTAACAGATGCCATGATCAAAAATCACAATTTTTCCAAAAAAGAGTTGATGTTTTACTTTTCCAAAAATGGGCAATTGTCGTCTTAAAGAGCCAAAAGACACTGAAGTTCTCAGTTCTTTCAAGACCTTTATATATTCGTTTTGTCATCGATTGCGTCCTCTAAGGGGAAGTTGCATACCCCCACTCTATCTATCTTTTCGACTCCCCCCTTCCATCATGTTGCAGATTTTGCATACATTAGCGCCATTTGTTCTATTGAATGTTGCAAATTCTTGACCCCCCCCCCTCCAAGCGCAACGTAATTTATGGATGGCCCCTTACGTGCTTACTCTCAATTCCTCTCTTTTTCTATCAAATAGGGAAATTTATCATTATGTCAATTATAATTTCTTCGAAAGTCAATATTAATTTCAAAATATTGACAAACTTTAAAAACAATTCTAATTATTGAAATATATGATAAATTTTTCTATTTATGTTGTGTTTAGAGTTTCGTTTATTTGAAAAGTAACTGCTGTTTGAGCTGAATAATAATTAAATTTCAATTTTTTTTTTTTGAAAATAGTTTATTGTGAAAATAATCGGACGTGGAATTCATTGCTAAAAGCGAATATCATTAGATTTTGGAAATTTATTAAGATTTCATGAACATATTTACGTTTTTTTGAAATGTGTATTGGTGGGGTGAGGTGGCGAGTTAAAAATTAAACATTCTATGCATATTTTTTTAAATTTTATTATTGCCCTACTTTATTATTTCCTATATAATTTTTTTAAATGCGATATACTGGCATTATTCTTCTTGGGCATTGCTGAGGTAAAATACATCTGTTGGACTCAAGGTCCATTATATATCCTTTTATGCATTCACAGGTAGGACGACATGACTGTAAATAAAATCAAATGTAAGGTTTAAACATAATTTTCAAAAAAAAAAAAAAATAAATAAATCCATTAAAGTACAATGTATTTTAGTATTGCTAGAAATAATTGAAATTGAATTTATTTATTTATTGAAATATGTCCCCGTAGTCCAAAAGAGGACTGAAATTTGAAAAATGGAAATTTAATTATATTTAATTACTGTTCAATAATGATTGTTTTTATATTTAAAGAATTTACCATGACACTCGGACAGGGCCGATTATCATTTATATTGAGGCATGTTTTGCGACAAGCACTTGAAGATCCACACTGTGTAAAAATTTTATTAAGTCCACATTGAAATTGATTAAATAGCTGTTGGGGTACTGTAATTAAAATTAAATTTCATTTTAAATATCTATACAGCCACACAAAAAAAAAGTTTTGATCTGGGGGTCTGCACAGAAAAAACCTTGTCTCATTTTTGATGCAAATCAAAATGAGCCAATGCTAAACGACATAGACAGTGGCGCCACCAACCTGGTTCATTTTTGTTGCACATCAAAATGAGCCGCCTACAGGCATCATTCTGAGTTCAGTTTTTTTCTGTGTGTCTATACCTACTTTATGTTTTTTGGGTCGCTGAATGCGAATTCGAGGTCCGTTTTACCCCATCAGATCAGGATTTTGAGATAACCTCAAAAAACCAATGTGGCGGACACTTTTTCGAAAAATTCATCGGAATCGCCTGAAACTCGTTACTCGGGTGTCAGTTTTCAAAAATTCAAGATGGCATCTTAACAAATTCCTTAAATGTATCTGCCATGACGGCATTTTTCGAAAAAGTGTCCGCCATTTTGAATTTTTGAAAACTGACATCAGATTCGTTATCAGCGACCCCAAAAACCCCCGAATAAAGAGTTTCAGGCGATTCCGATGAATTTTTCGAAAAAGTGTCCGCCATATTGGTTTTTTGAGGTTATCTCAAAATCCTGATCTGATGGGGTAAAACGGACCTCGAATTCAGATTCAGCGACCCAAAAAACATACAGTAGGCATAGTCAGACCCTCAGATCAAAATATTTTTTTTTTGTGTGGCTATGTAATTATTTATATTTATTATGTTTTTTACTTATATTTTGTAATTTACCTGTTCTTGGGCATTGATGAGGTAAAACACATCTTTTGGACTCAAGGTCCCTTACATATCCTTCTATGCATTCACAGCCAGGATGACACATCTGTAAATAAAATCAAATGTAAGGTTTAAACATAATTTTCAAAAAAAAAATAAATAAATAAATCCATTAAAGTACAATGTATTTTAGTATTGCTAGAAATTGAAATTGAATTTATTTATTTATTGAAATACATCCCCGTAGTCCAAAAGAGGACTGAAATTTGAAAAATGGAAATTTAATTATATATAATTACTGTTCAATAATGATTGTTTTTATATTTAAAGAATTTACCTTGTCGAACAGACACTTCCGATTATCATTTATACTGAGACATGTTTTGCGACATGCAGATCCACATTTATTATAAATTGCATTGGGTCCACACGGAATAGAATCTATAATTAAAATTAAATTTCATTTTAATTATCTATACAATATTAAAAAAAAAACAAATAAATATTTTTTTCTTTTACATTTCTCACTTATAATTATTTAAATTATTTCTTCTTCTACTAATAGATAGAAACGATATTTAAAAGAAAATTTATTTATCAGAAAAAGATAGTTTAATAAATTATTTAATGAAAAAAATTGTATTATACATGTTTAAAAAAAATTTAACAATTTTTTATGAATATAAAAATAATCATAGTGTAACAAAAAATACTTACGAACTGCAGCAATGGCCAAAAGTAATGAAAGAGTAAAGATTGGAGACATATTGATGAAGACTTGTAAATGTTGAAATACAATTGTTGTCACTAATTAAATGTTTGCAGAACGATTTTTCTTTGTCAAGTATTCTAAGCGACAGTTAAACTTAGACTGTTTGGAACTTGGAAGATACTTTCGAAAATCGATTTTATATTGTCGAAAATTCAGAAAGTGGGAGAAATCAAAAATATTGGGCGTAGACAAATATAGTATTTGAATAATTAGCGGGGGTAATACCACAAACAAGGAAGGCATTTTAATGGGATATCATTTGAAAATGAGATTTTAATACAAGTGAAATAAGTAATTACTTTTGTAAATACTTATTTCATTTATTTATTTCGTCACGTAAGTGACAAAAGTCTCGTTTCACATTAACAAAACTCTAAACACAACATAAATATCAAAATTATTATCGCACATTTCAATTAGAATTGTTTTTAAAGTAATAATGACTTTCGAAGAAACTCTTAACAGAGATATGATAAATTGAAAAAACATTTTATTATCAGTTAAAAATATTGAATATAAAAAATTTTCCAATCTTTTGAGGGTTGCAAACTTTTTTCAGGATAATAAAAAAAAAATTGGAGATTTTGTGAGATATTTTTTATTAACATAATTTATTTGCTATTAAAATTTAGCGAAGATATTTTGCTTGGTTTCTGAAATATTAGATTTAAAAATATTTTTTACATCTTTCACTATTCTCATAAAAGAACAGAGAGATGTGAAATTGTTTTGTTAATTTCAAGTCTTAGTACTTAAAAAAAAAATTTCCAATTTACTTATTAAACAAATTTCTCAATAAATATAATGAAATTATTTAATAATTCATGTAATTTAATTAAACGCTTCTTAAAATATTCACGTTCTCTTTTATTTTTATTGTTATTCGTAACATTATTTTATTTATAAATAAAAGTTTTCGACATTTTGGAAAAAATGAACATTAGAGGATTACTTCAGAAATTTTGCCTCATATTTAAATATTAATTTTATTTAATTTTTTTTTTAAATTACTTTCTACACAATATTAGGTTATTAATATTTAAATTATTAATTTTACCATTATATTTAAATACTATTATTATCATCATTAATGTAAATTTTAATCTCAAAACTTAATTGTAATTCTTTTTTTTTTTTTACAAAATCTTAATGATAAATTATTAATCGCTAGGTCATTTCAATGTCGGTGGTGAACAATTTTAATTTAAAAACAACTGTATTGGGAGTTGTAACATCGGCTACATATATTTCATCGCCTTCATTTAAACCCAATTCATTTAGGGTTTTTGATAAATTTTCTCGTGTCTTCTCCTCGATACACAATGGATATGTGACCTTAAGAAAACAAATTTTACAATTTCTAATTAAATAAATTTTTAATTTTTTTCAAAATGTTTTAAAAAGATTTTTCAACTTTCTCTTATTGAATATTAAAGTGAGGAACCAGTGAAATTTCATTCTATCAAAATTTAGACTAATAAAAATTGACATTGTTTAAGGGTTAACAATTTTTTTTTTACATTTTTTCAGAACCTGAAATTATATTCCAATATGAAAAATTAAAAAAAGGAATTTTTAACTATTTTACAATTTATTCCTATTTTTCAAAAATTTCATTCTTTTGAAAAAATTTGAAATTTTTCAAAATTCATACGATTGATTATTCAGAATCGTGAAAAAAACCGGTCCCTCTCCTTAACATACAAATTTTATGATAAAAAATTCAATTAATTGTTTTTGTCTAAAATTAATTTGTTACCAATTTTTATTTGACAAAATTTCATTACCTAGAATTTACATTAAATTGAATTTTCATTTCTTTGAATTATTATTTAACAGAAATTCAGTTTTACAGAAATGTTACTTAATTAAATTTTACAGAATTGAAAATAATTTATCAACTAATTTTAGATAAAATTTTTTAAAAGTAATTGAATTTTCTTTCTAAATCTGAATTAGTAAAAATATTTACTAATTTAAATTTGTGACTCACTTTTTGCTTTAGAATTAGTTAAATTTTACTAAATGTTAGTTAAAAGTTACTAATAATTAATAAAATCTTACTGATTCAGAAGCAAATAGTAAGTCACTAATTCAAATTAGTAAAAAATTAGGGTCAGTTGGGGTAAATGAGGACAAAATCGCTATTTTTCGCATAAGCGTCGCAAGTGGTGAATTTACAACATTTTATAAAAAATTTCTTTGATTCAAAACACTCAAAAATTTCTTTTTCGTAAAAGCAAAGAAAAATTTTTTTAATTCAAACAAATTTTACCTTTGATTCAAAAAGAGCGTTTAAAAAACGATTTCTTTGTTTCAAAGAAATCTTTTCTCTGGGTGTACACTTTAAGCTTCATTTTAAAGGGTAAAAGAATGAAAAAAATGGGTCTTTTATTAAAATTTTATTTTGAATTTTATAAAAAAAATTTGCAAAAAATATACAGGTCAAAATTTTGCTCATCCTTTTATACTTACAATAGTTGTGATTCTTCAAAAAATCCAATGTTCATATTTTGGCCTCACATCAGAAATTTAGCCCCATATGCGTTGCTATACAGTTCACCAAACTTTTGGTTAAATCAACCCAAACTTTATTTGATTCAATCAAATTCTTTCCTTATTCGAAATATTCATATGAAAATAAACAAAGCAATTATATCAATGAAATAAATATTTATTTGAATTTAACAAATTTTGTTTGAAGTAACCAAAAAATTGTTTAATCCCTACTGGAAAATTCCCATTAGGGAAACCATATAAAGGTTTCCATATAAAAGCACAGCGGAATATTTTATTATATTTTAATTTACTAGTAGTAAATATTTTTAATTTATTGAGTGACCACAAAACTTTGTCAGATTTTGTGTACCTGAGACATTTCATATGAGAATACGGGGTCATGTCTCGGATTTTTCTCAAAATTCGGTAAATTGTAGTAATAAATAATAAATTTACAAAAGAAATTTATATATTTTGTTTTATTACTTCATATTACCTATTATTAAATATTTTTATTTTATTGTAAAGAATAGCGTTTTTAAAACGTTCATAACTTTAAAATAATGAGACATACAGAAATTGTATCAAGACTGTCATTACAAAAGTTTCGAATTGCCGCCCCTTTGACTATGAACATCAATACTCATTGAGAGACTCTATGATACAGCACTGCCTGCCGCCCCACTACAACGCATTATATTTAACAAAACTTTCATTCAATAAAATTTCTATTCTATCTAATTTTTATTTATCAGAATTCTTATCAGAGAGGAATTGAGAGTAAGCACGTAATGCAAATCGCGCTTTTCTATTAAAGTCTGCCCCCTCGCGGTCAAAATATCGAAGCTTAGGTGGTTAGCTATATATATTCCTTAAATCGGTGAGGCTACACACATACGCATAATGTAATGGCTAAGCCGAATGACGTTCGGAATTGATCGGGCGGGCTCGTGTATCTTTGCGTGAATTAGAGAAACAAACTGAAAACGAACCGTGCGGGCCTCATCCAATGTTTTGACTTTTTTTCAGATATGAGCCGGTTTTTGAAACAATTCACTAACCGACAATATTTTTAAGGTTAAATTTAGAAATTTTAATTTAAATTAGTAATTAAAATACAATTTTAATTTATTATTTAAATTTCATTTTAAATTTTTATAAGATTTAGAATTCTAAATGTTCTCTCTTCGAATGCATAGTTGAATAAGTACGAAATTCGTTTTCAATAAATCTTATCATAATTATTATAAATTTTTAATTAAAAAATGTTTTCCTTAAACGTATGGGTGATTTCACGTGAGATTTCAGGCGACCCTTTAATTTCAGCAAAATATAATTTTTTCGTGTTATGTAGTGAAAAAAAGATACTTTCTTTATGCAAATTTTCGAGTTATAAATTTTCAAAATTTCAGTTTTGTAAATGTAGACAAAAAACTGGATTTTTTCAATTTTTGCCAACAGAAGAAAAGTTCCAGTTTATCTTTTACTTTTCAATAATGTTAACGAAATTTTTTTTTCATTTTTTATTAAAAAATAAAAAAATTTTATAAACAAATTAAGTTTTTTTAAATTGGAATATGATTTAAAAAAAAAAATTTTAAACATACCTGAAAATACTAAGAAATACTGGAAATAACTAAGATTATAGGTTTAAATAAACATTTAAACACTGCGCGCAGCATTGTGCACATTTCTGAAAAGTAAAAAAAATTGTTAAATTATTGTTAAAAAATTTTCTTTCATTTTTCATAGTGAAATAAAATTTCAGGTTTCAAAAAAAATTTTTTTAAATAATTTTTAACAATTTATCAATTATTTTACTATTCAAAAATGTGCACAATGCTGCACGTGGAGTTTTTTTTAAATACATAAAAATATAAAACTTATTGGCCGACTCTAAATTTTTTCACTAAATCTTCTTCTTATTTCTAGGTATGTTTTAAAAAAATCACATACAAATGAAAAAAAAATTTAATTTGTTTATAAAAAATTGTTACTTTTTTAATAAAATATGAAAAACAAATTTTTTGATAACTCTATTGAAAAGTAAAAAAAACTGACATAATTTTTATAAATATTATCTTTATTTATTTAATTTAGTTAAACATAAATAATAATGTGAAACTAAACACCATAGAATATTCTATACAAATTAATAATGTATTAAATTGTGGGTAATTTTAATAGGTACTGACAACAATGTTTACAATTTAAATTTTAAGAATATTCTCATTTTATTTAAAATTAAATCATTTTTTACTTGGACAAGCCTAAAGAAAAAATAATTAATTAATTTACAAAAACAATTTTTCTGATTTAAAAACCTATAAAATATTTTTTAAAATTGATTATTTTATTTATTTATTTTAAGTTAAAACATTTAATCTCTTGACAAAATGTTTTTAAATTTAATATTTTAAAAAATGTAAGCTATACTTATAATGTGTAAGCATTTACAAATCGAAAATTTAAAAGTATAATATAAAAAAAAATTATATTTTTTTATAAACTATTAAATAGACATAAAAAATTGATTCAATTTTAAATAAAATGAGAACATTCTTAAGAATTAAATTATAAACATTGTTGTCAGTATTAGGTAAAATTTTTAAATTCTAAAATTTTATTAT